CAATTAGCGAGTGAAAGGAGTTCAATTCTAAATAAGTAACTATCAGTCTTTTTTTTAAGATGAAAATAAAAAAAATACAAGGTTTTTAGGTGGCCATTAATCTATTCATCAATTTGTTGAAGTTTTCTGTTAGATAAGGGTCACATTTTTGGCAAATTCCTTTTTTGTACTTGATGGACTGTTTGAAAACAACGGAAACACACATGGTTCTTATCATTAAGGCATTAGCGATCGATCGCGCACACACAATCTCGAGATCCTAAAACTACAATCACATACCTGTAAAATCTTGGATACTTACACATCAGACCATTACCTAATTGTCAAATTGAACATTGATATTTCTTCACAGCTATCATTAAAAGAAACTTTAAAAGTAGAGTTAAAAGTTAAGCAAACCGCACAGATACTACAACACTGATCCCCAGCAAAAGGGCTGATCCATATGTTAATAATACTGATATTTTTATAACGTAAACATGAGTAAATACTTGTTTTATCGGGGAGTTTGAGGTGATGATTAAGCAAGCTAAATTACAATTGTGTAGAGATTTCAAGCCTGACTGAGTGACCCACACTTTTTAACACAAAGATGGTACCATGCAGAATTAGTAAAACAAGACATGAACCCACTTCTCCCTGTATAATCCTCTGGCAAACTTATGACAAAATCTCCCTTTACTGACCTGTGACAGTGATTAACAAAGAATTGATGAGGGAAAACCTGGGCAATAACTCAGCTTATTTATCCAGTTACTAACAACAAAAAGCTGTTACATCCATAGTCAACCTTGCCATGATCCAATTACATGATACACATCAATTTCTTTTTCAATTTCAAGTAAATTTTTATAAATATATATATATATATATATATATATATATATAATGAAATGGACAAAGTCCAACAATTATTTTAAGACATTTTTATGTTTATACATTCTTTGTCCGTTTCATAATGTGTGACGTCATTTGTTTACATTTGAATAAGCAGATATTAATGTACATAAGAGATTCATGGAAGATTGAAGTTTAAAAACAGTAAAATCGATCTTGCTAACCGAACGCTCCTCTGAGAGCAAATCGGTTAAAGGCACATCAGGCTATATGATGGTTCCATATAGGATACAGGTTCGATTACTGTCGGAGGACAAATATTTTCTATGATGTATAATACTGTTTATTATAAACAGAGCATTTACTTAAATTAAATATTTGTATCTATAAAAAGAATGTATAAACATAAAAATGTTTTATATATATATATATATATATATATATATATATAGCTCAGATTTGTAGTACAACTCTATCTGCACCGTGCATGAAACTGACTTGTGCTACCCAACCAAAATATATATATTTATTATTAGCATTAATTTTAGCTGCTATTATACATCAAGCATTGTTTTGTTACATTAAGCACTGTTTTTATACCAGCAGTTAATGACAACTAATTTAGCATCCTTACATCTTCAGTGGATAATTCTAACCAAGTTTTAGTAGGGTTGGTATTTTACACCTCCCCACCCTCAACATACATTTTATTCCATCAATAAGTACATTTATCTAATGAAGTTCTTTTAGAGGACAAAATGCCTTCCATGGATTTTATTCTATTTTGTCATTCAGTTACCTATATATATATATATAGGCATATATGTGAATATATGTAGCTTCTAATAAAGCTTGCAAGAAATCCCACAGGTTTCCCTAGTGTTCCCAAAGTTGCACCATGTCAGTTTTCATATGAAACTTAGATTTCTCCAACTCTCCAAAAATTGGTGTAAAGCAAAAAAAGCAATTATTATTATGTGGAAAACTGTTTAGTAATGTGTCTGTCTGATATAATATCAAGGACTGCGGTTGATTATCCACCAGGAAAGGCTTCGAATAGAACAGAATTTGAAATTTCACAATTATGCAGGTCGTTGTAGGCAACTAAAACATTCTGAAAACTTGTCTTTAAACCAAAATTAAAAACTGTTTTGTTATACAAGGAAACTGAAAAGAGAGCAAAATAATTGACAAAAAGAAAGTTTTTACCAGGTTTATGTCAATTTTCTTTTTATTTAAATTTTCCTATTTTCAATTTTATTGCCTGTATGAAATTAGAATCTTTTTTCATAAAAAAAAAAAAAAAAAAAAAAAAAAAAACACACACACAACAACAACACCACTTTCCTTTGTTTTTTTACCTAAAAGTAAATATTTCAAGTATTTTATTTTATTGGGACTTTTTGCTAGAAGAATTTGGATTGGCTGAAAGCAAATATTGTCTTACCTGGCAGAGATTTAATTTTAAAGCTAGGCACTTGATCCTACTTACAAACTCCTTACAAGAAAATAATCTTCCTACCATTTTTATTCAAAATTACATTTCCAAGAGAGAAAAAAAAAAAAAAAAAAAATCAATTTTAAAAAAGAAAATAATCACTAGAATTGTTTTCTTTTTATTTAAAAAAAAAATATTTATAAGAAAAAAACAGCTCAACTTTCAGACACTTTCTGTCAATCTTTCAATAACCTAATATCAAGAGTGTCTGTGTTGACATTAATAGCCAAGTTTAAAGTTGCCAAGGAGATATGAAAGGTAAAATTAGATAAGAACGTACTGAAATTAACCCTCTTCCTCTCACAGCAGACACACCTTGATTAATGTCAGCAACATAGTTTGCATAAATGTATTCTCATAAAACCATGTCAAAATTAACATCAGAATTTAATTCAATCTGAATGGTTATAAATAAGGGAGAAAAATAGTTGATGCTTCTATTCATGAATTGAATGCTAATGAAGGATTTTTCTGCAAAAGCCATAAACCTTCTTTGATGAAGAAATAAAATAGAATTCATAATAATGAAGTTTTGCAGAACATTAAGAATTTCAATTCTTACTAAGTGCCCCTAATGTTGTACACATGTACAAAACAAAACTTAGTAAATTCTGACATCAAAAATTTGAAGCTGTATTTTTTTTCTGCTAAAGAGAAAAAAACTTGATTTTTTATCTTTGCTTAGAAGTCAGAGCAATCAGAAATTCGTAAACATTTAAAGAATAAAAAAATTAAAAATTAGATGCTATTTGTAAATAAAAATGTTAACAATTTAACAAAAAAAAAAAAAAAATGATTAATTCCTGGTAATCACAGGTAGACTAGAAAACTTATTTTTCTTAATCCTTAGAGGGAGAAATATGATGCAAGGGAAATAAACAAAACAATAAAAATTTATTTTCAACACTGACTGCATTTGAACTTTGTATGCATGAGGAAAATTTTATCATCACAGCCCCATGACTTTTTTCTTACTTCATCACAGTCTCACTTATTATTTGTCTTTTTTCCTCACAGTCTCACGATTTGTCTCTTTTCCTCACAGTCTATTTGCCTCTTTTCATCAGTCTCACTTACTATTTGTCTTTTTTCAAGTAAAAAACTAAATATTTCTAGCAGTAGGGAATAAAAAAAATATAACTGAATGTTATTCATTTTTTTTTTCAATTTACAGTAGACAGTCTCTATGTTGTGCATTGAAAATCAGGAAGAAAAAGGATTGTTTAATTACTGACAAAATAACGCTATTAAATAGCACAATGTACAATAAGATGAATAATAGAAAATTGTTAAGACATTGTTCTTATTTCAAATATTTTAATGGCCCCACAAATTTTGATGTTTACTAAACTTAACAGTATAATGAGAAATAAGAGATGGGAAGATTGTGTTGCAGCAATTTTCCAAATAGAAGGAAGCCAGCCTGCAATATTTAAAATCCAGAATTTACTTTTGCTGAAAACACTGATTCTGTCACTAATGAATAATTCACAATGATCCAAGCTCCCTAAAAGAAAAGTCTTATCTTTTCTGCTAAAACAGTGTTTTTTGAAAGGTAAACAAAATAAGGAACAAGGTGGAATTTTGGGGCTGAACAGAATGGTGTCTCATGAATGTTTTAGTTTTAATTTTAGCTTTTTATCTGTATTTGAATACACAAGGTCCTTCTAACTAGTAAAAAAAATAAAAATGTTAACTTTGAACAAAATTATAATTTTAATTTATTTAATTTGATGGAAGGGTTTGAAACTTTGTATTTTGTTCATTCCAAACTGTAACAGTGAATTCTATTAATAACCTTGTATTATGTTGCTTTGAACGCCATACCCTTTGGCTGTGGGTAAAAAAAAAAATTTTTTAAATTATTAAAAAAAAAAAAAAAAAATTAAAAAAATATGCTGTTTATAAGGAAATTTACTTCCCTTCTTTTCACTTTGTCAGGAGTTAAATAAATGGATATTAAATTAAAGCTTAATAATCTACCACTGTGATCTAAATATTAACTTTTAACTAGAATCATGTCCTCTACACTCACTTAAACCAAGTCCCTTAAAATCAAATTCTTCAGCTTTACCCTCAAAAGAGTTTTTATTAATTCCACCTTAGCCTGGGTGCTACCTTGTTTTACTACCTTTCCTGGAGAGGGTACCTCAATAAAAGCACCAAGCCTCCTGTGCTGTGTACAGGTTAATGGAGTAGACAGGCTCACAAATCAACTTGCACTCCTTCCATGTTGACTGAACAGGAATAAAAGGGTTTCCCTCCTCATTTCCTGTTTAAGATGCCATTTACCAGTTCCTTTTTTCCATGACTTTAATGATTAACTTTTTGATGATCTGACTGATCAATGACTGCGACTTTTCATCTTGAGGACACCGGGCTGGCATTTTTAGCTGCTGCATCCTGACTGGTAGCAAAGCACCCAAACTCTGGTAGCACTTAAAAGAATTGCTCTAGGAGCTAGAGAAAATTTTATTTTGGGGGGTCAAATTCCTTAAAGGTGTGTGCAAACCAGATTTTATATTGTAAATTTTACTTAAAAAAAAAAAAAAAAAAAAAAAAAAAAAAAAATCAAAAAGTGAAAATGAGGAAGCAAAAGAAATTATGAAAACATTTTAATAGAAAAACATAATGAAAGAAAATGAACAAATGAAAAGAGAGTCAGCTATGTGCTGAATCTACGAAGGGGTTTAAACTTGAGAGTGGGGTCTTTTACAAAATATCTGTCCCAAATATCAGAGTGCTGAGAGAGACGACCCCAAGGTTTAAAATGTCCATTCCAGTGAAGCAGTTTTGCATGACTAACAAATGCTTTGGAATAACTTGTTCCAGATGTCCACCCTGTTGGAAGAAAGAGAGAGAAATGAGGTTAATTCGAGGAAAACTGAAAGAACAATATAGCTAGGGATATTTTGACAGGTTTCCAATCACAAAAATGATTTTTTTTTTCAAGAAATGTAGCCATTTTTTTTTTTTTTTTTTTTTTTTTTTAAATCAAAAAATATTATAACGGAATAAATTTATTACTAAACACATTACTTTAAAAGTAATTAGCCCTGTGGAAATTCCATGGATATTGACAACTAAGATTATCAGTTATTTTATACTTGACTTTTCTCTCGCTTTGCCTGTATCTTCTCATTCTCTACCTTATCCCTTTCAATCTTTCTTGCTCCTCCAGCATTTTTAAACAAATATTATACAAACATTCTTCAGTTCTAGCAGTGCAGATCTTTACTCTACAGCTAAGGCATGCCCTGCTACTTTCATAGATTTGAATTATATTTGGAATACGGAGAAAATGTGGGTCAAATTACTCTGAATTCCAGAGTTACAATCAAACAGCTTTTTCCCAACAGACTCCGTTGTCGTTGTTTCCCAAAAAGCTACAATATTAACCTCCAAGTCATAAAAGGTCAATTGCTATCCACCCTCAGCCTTATAATCTTCACTTTGATTCATATCACTCATTCATCATCAATCTTGGGGGGCAATAAAAAAAAAAAAAAAATTTTCACACTGTAAGAGATAAAGCATGAATTTATGCAAATAGATTGAGTGAAAGGTAATTAATCAAAAAGGTAAGGAAATTATTTCTTTCCAGAGATGCTAATTAAAAAGGTCAGTATGATATCCCCTCTCCGCAACCAAGCTAAAAACAAAATGTCCATTTTATTTATGCTGCACTTTACATTTTTCAGTCATTAAAAGACAATAACATTTCAGAATAATAAAGAAATGATTTTTAAAATATTTATTAATTAAACAAATGAAAATACATCTTTTAAAGGATAATTTTCTGACAGGTGTTTCCGTTTTCCCTTCTATGCAATCCAAAAGGTGACAAAATATTTTATGAAAAAAAGCAATAAACAACTTTACAGACAAAACAATAATTCATTTTTATTATTGTTTTTTTTTTATTTTGCTATTCATATTTCATTTTTAACTTTCAAATAAAATTTTAGCAGATTTACTTTCTCCCAGGCCTTATCTATAAACAAATGTAAATATTTTAGCATAGAAATTATATTTTAAAAAGGAGTGAAACGGTTCATTTAAAAAGAAATAATTTTAAAAAGACTTTTTTACAAAATTCTATTTGCATAAATGAATAAGTGAAAATTCACAATTAACTGGTATTTGGTAGATTTTTAAAGTCAAGACAGTCGACCTGGAAATATAAAATTATTTAACAGGGTTTTAAGATCTAAACAATTCTTCAGAGATAAAAAAAAAAAAAATATTTGCTTACAGAAATTAAATAAAAATAATTTTTATATCAGAATTTATTACAATCAGTTTTCTTTGAAAAGCATGAAAATTAACACGTCACAAGTTTGGACAATTTATTTGACACATGTCACCTTGTTTTCAAAAGTGCCTGAAACAGAGTAAATAAGACCAAACAATTTATTTAGCAAACAAGTCAGTTCTTTTGCTATCTTTTTATACAGCTATATTTAAGAATGCATGCCAACCCCAACACAAATATACAAACCATTTAATTGTACAAAAAAACAAGTTTTAATTGGCTTCAGACCTTCTTTGAGAGGCAAAGACAAATACAGTATGTGGAAGAAAAACAAAACAAAACATGATCTTGATGAAATTTAGCATTCTTGTCAGCCATCAAGAATGCCAGGTTGATATATGCAAGTGAGACATTCAAAAACAACATATTCAAATTCCAAATGGCATACAAAATAGCAAAGTGCATATTTTGCATTGCACAAAAAACATACCTTCATATTTCTGTGGCAGACAACACACGCCTGCCAGAAATAACAACATTATCTGGGGAATTTACAAATAATGTTGTTAAACATTGTCAGTTGCTAAACGTATAAGAACAGTTATGTGGAATGGACCTCCTTCCTCAAATTCTTTCTTTTTCTCAAAATGTTCTGTCCTTGCTTCAATTGTCAAACAATGAGAAATCAAAATAATAAAAGAGATTCAAACTAGACTTGAACCCTCATTCTCTACATTGAGAGTGCATATCTTTTATGAAGAACTCATTAACCATTTCCACCAAAGAAGATTTTACAATCATGTAAATAGAATCAAACCAAATGGTGGGAAAAAAAATATCAAAAAACGATTGCACGATGAGATCTGCATTCAATCATTAAAAGATTCTTTGGCATCTGATTTCCCAAAATAAATAAAAATAACTTCCTTTTGCAATTTAATTTTAATACATTCAATGCCAAAAAATTTGAATCAACATTTTCTGCAGTTTCAAAGTTAAGCACAAAAACAACTTTAAATCATGTAATGTTTCCCCTTTTTGAAATTTGTGCCTAGTCTTCATTTTGTCCTCTGCACATTGCTGGCACTAAAACAAGCTTTCCAGTGATGCTATTTAGTTTCTGGAGAATTGCCATTGTTCCATTCTTTGCTTCTTAAGCAAGAAAAAAAAAAAAAACAACTAAAGATGTTAAGAGTCAAAGAATGAATCAATGGAGAGCATTGTGATAAAAAAAAGCATCAAAAAAGATTTTAAATAAAAAAGCTTTGATGTTTTAATCTACATTCACAAACCACACCTGCTCCCCCCCACCTACCAAGACAAGATTCCTTTGATACCAACAGATCAATTATGTTGTTAAACTAGAAAAACTATTTTTATTTTCCAATGACAAAGAAGGACTAACCAAAAACTTTCTATAAGAGTGAATCATACTGACTACAACCATTATTTAGCAACTTTAGACAACTTTAGATAGCATTACCAAATATCAAATTAAAATAAGAAAAACAAAAGGAAAAGACTAATGAAGAACAAAAAATACTTTTAATCAAGAAAGTCTTAAATTCTTTTTCACATATGTAAATTTAGACATAGAGAAACATTTACTTTTTACCTGTTCTTCAGAAAAAAATGAAGAAAATCTTTGGTTTTTTTTTTTGGGTTTTTTCTTGAGCTACAAAAATCCACCATGGATTTTCTTTAGGTTCATGATGCCATGATTTTTTTTCACATAATATTTTTTTTTTTCAAATGTTTTAGCTAATTTTGTAAAACTTTGTTCATATCAAATAAACTTGAACAAATCTTCAACTTAAATGTTAAAAGGTGATGAAATTACGTGTTTGTTACCCGATTTTTATGCAGTAAAAAATACATCTGTATTGAAACTCAAACAAATTCAATATTCCAATTAGTGAGTTTCAATCAGTAGCTGTCTTGCGAGATTTACTGTTTGACAAAAGTATTTCAAAATTAGTACAAGATACAAATTTACTAAGAATAATTTTTACTGTATACTCCTTTGGTTATTTTTAGGATTTCAAGAAGATATTTTTAGAATTTTAATAAAACCATAACATCTGAAACTGGATTTATACCTTTTTTTTCTTGGTGTAATTAATCATGACTATCTCAGATTACTTCTTTGTTTTAATTTTTCAGGCTTCACTGTTACATTCATCGTAACATGTACAACTGCATTTTCAAAATCTCAAACGAAACCATCCTTGTAAAATTTAAACAAATAATTTTCAGTAAATTTTTGTGATGACAACAAAAAAATAAAATATCTAGAAAATATTTTTTTTTCAAAATTTCTAATTAGTTACTCATCATTAGAAGTTTATTTAAATTTTCTTGTCTTACAATTCACAGATATTTTTATAATTTTATGAATAAAACATTTTTGTAGATGTTTTTTGGGAATATGGTAAATAATAAATATTTCTTTATAGCCTGTTCACATAAATTTTTATAATGTCGTGAACTATAAAAATTTCTTTATAATTTAATAAATCTATAATTTATTGTTATAGTTCATAAATTAAATTCTATATTCTTGCAAATAATATTGTTTTTATTGTGGCATATTTTTAAATAAACAATTGAATAGTGTTTAACATATTTGTTGTCAATTCACAAGGAAAATAAAATGAATAAATTTAGTTTAATATGTTCTGCTTTGATTAAAATTCTAAAAATAACTTTTTAAGACAATAAAAATTACTTAGAGTGTACACAGTAAATAGAGGTGCCAAGACAAAAAAATTACAATTATGAATAGTGTTTAACATATTTGTTGTCAATTCACAAGGAAAATAAAATGAATAAATTTAGTTTAATATGTTCTGCTTTGATTAAAATTCTAAAAATAAATTTTTTTAAGACAATAAAATTACTTAGAGTGTTAAATAAATAGAGGTAAAAAAGACAAAAAAATTACAATTATGAATAGTGTTTAATATATTTGTTGTCAATAAAACACTTAGGAAAATAAAATGAATAAAAATTTAGTAAATTTAAGACAATACTTTGTGCAGTTTGAAAAACAATAAAATTTTTCTAAAAAATTAACTTTTTGCCAAGACAATAAAAAATTCTTAAACAATTAAATTTGTAAGACAATAAAAATTACTTAGATGTATTACACAGTAAATAGAGGTGCCAAGACAATAAAATTACTTAGAGTGTACACAGTAAATAGAGGTGCCAAGACAATAAAAATTACAATTATGAATAGTGTTTAACATATTTGTTGTCAATTCACAAGGAAAATAAAAGTAAATAGAGGATTAAAATTCTAAAATGCCAAGACAATAAAAATTACTTAGAGTGTACACAGTAAATAGAGGTGCCAAGACAATAAAAATTACTTAGAGTGTACACAGTAAATAGAGGTGCCAAGACAATAAAAATTACTTAGAGTGTACACAGTAAATAGAGGTGCCAAGACAATAAAAATTACTTAGAGTGTACACAGTAAATAGAGGTGCCAAGACAATAAAAAAAAAACATCTATTTGACACTGTATTTGCTTTTGCCTGATCCTAAGTTAAACTGTCACATTTTTTATTTCAATAATCAGACAAAAGTTATGAAATTAGAATTGATTAATTAATGCTTGGATACCACTAATTAATGGAGAAAGTATTAAAATTCACTCTACAGTAGGCAAATCTCCTGTTACAATGCCAACATTATTAGGCTCATGAATAAACTCATCATTTGTTCTTTGCAAGGTGCTAGCTAAATACATTCTGTAACTGAGCATCAAGTAGCAACCTACCTTGACAAACAAAAAGCAGCAAATATTGCACATATATTTTCACCAGGTGCTATATTGATGGAAATGAGCACACAGGCAGAGCTGAAGATCATAGGTTAGCCTTCCATATATGCAAATCACTTTACCTAATAAAAATCCACACCTCAAGTGAGCAAAAGATAGATTTTCAGCTCAGTACTGTAAATTTACATCAGTCAATGGTAAAACAATAACGTGTGTTGCATTGAAAGACAGAGTTTGAGAAGGAATAAATGAACAATAATCAAAGTAAACAACAAAAAGTTTGATGGTGAAGTGAGAATAAATCTGACAGTGACAGAGATGAAGTTTACAGCCGAGAGAACAAAGTTATTGTTTCTTTCATTCTAACAAAGTTGCTTTTATCCAATAAACACATCTACGATAGGATTAATCAACTCTCATTTTATACCTGGAAGTTTTAACAAGAAAAAATAAATCTAGAAATAAATTTCCACTTTGAAAACAAATAAAAGATGACAGAGCTTTTTAAGCTGAAATATCTTTAATTCCTCTAGAAAATGTTTTCCAATGCAGAACAAGACAATCTTTAATAAATAAAAAGAAATCATTATTATGAAAAGGACTAGTGTCTATTAAACTTTACTTCAAATCTATTTTAGAAAAATAATAACAAGTATGTAATAAAAAAAAAATATCGGAAAGAAATGCAGTTAAAGGGAGGTAAGTTAAAGGGGAGATAAGTTCATGCTTATGAAAGTAATTTGCATTTTTTAAATGCTAATTACTTTCATAAGCAGGGACATACATAAATCGAAAAATTCAATCTTAAAAGTATTTTACAAACTAAAATATAAAAATTTATCAAAACAAATCTAAGATTCGAAAGAAAGTAGTTCTTCAATCTATTTTTCTCATTTAAAGGGTTTTTAATGCTGCCATTTCTCTCAAGAGGGTTCGACTTTGTTTCATATTATACCCTCATGGAAAGGTGGATAAATAACTCCTATGAAGACAGTTTTTAAGTGATCAGGAATAGTATTAATTGCCATTATAATAAATTAATTAATGTTTCTATATTTTTCAACAGAATTCATAACATTCAATTTGAACAACTTAATACAGTCAAAAGTTTTTGCAAAAAAAAAGTATATCATGTCACTATATATATATATATAAAAATCACTTTGTAAATCACTAGCAGGTCTTAAATGCCACTTAAGATTATCGTGCAAACTTTCATAACTGAATCAATAAGCTGTCAGATCCTCATATGTCGAAACTGACGGGAGAGTCCATTATTATATATATATATATATAAAATTATTTAAAAAAAAAAATTTTATAACATAAATATGTTATAAAATCACTACAAAAATAGATATTTTGTTTCAACACCCTCAGTGTCTTATCAAGTGATGATGTTGATTCAACATCATCACTTGATAAGAAATATTTATGTTATAAATTTTTTTTTTTTTTTTTTTAAATAATTATATCTGCTCTACTTTGTATTGAGCACTCTTTTAAGAATAGTAATTGTTGGTTATTGGAATTCATTCTGTATACACCAATTATATACTTGTATATATATATATATATATATATATATATATACACACACACACACACACACACACGGTGCGATGGGTAAATTGTCTCCATGTTATATTTTTAATTTCACACATACATGTTGTTTATTTTTTATTTTGTCAACTGCACAGAGTTAGTTGGGCACTGTCTGTAAGAAAAAGACCTCCATGACGCAATTCACTCTGCCAGAAATTTGGAAACAGCAGGGTGTACCTCTTGGCATTCACGCTAGAAGCTCCTATATGAAAATTTCACAGTGTTTGTGTGTAAATAGTGCAGATGATTCAGAAGGAGTTGGAGGAGCCTAATGCTGATTATGAACGTGTTTGAAGTGATGCCGATGTTATGCCTCCATTCAGCTTCCCACAGAGCCTATGTATCAATGCTTGGAGCAAGAGGTTGGCTACTGAAAGACCCTATGTCTGGCAACAGGATTCTGCACCATATCACACACAAGCAGAAGAACCCAGTCATGGCTGTCAAATAATTTCTGCAACCACATCACTTCTTACATCTGGCCACCTAACTCCCCAGACTGCAACCCCTTTGATTATTATGTGTGGGATGCAGTTGAGTGAGAGACCAATAAAACTCCTTGTAACACCAAAAATGAACTGAAGACAAGGATGATGGCAGCATTCACCAACTTAGCCAAGGAGACTGTCCAGAAATGTTGCAAGAGATTCTGAAGTCGTCTGGAGGCCCTAGTTGAGGCCAATGGAGATTTTATTGAATAAAATTACTTTAGTACTTTATTGTGTAATTTTGGTAAATATATCTGTTAAAATGATACGCAACAATGCCTATCTATTGGCCATTGTTCAATCCATAATTAAAAACAAAATTTCAGTGTTTAATAAAACCAAACCTGCTTCAGTACAGAGATGCCCTGTGTACCTATGTCATCCTTGGTGAAGTAGCATTAGTGACAAGCAGTTCGACAATGCTATTTTTTTTCTAACACACATGTGGTTTTCTCCACTACACCTACCCTTCCTTCTACATGCAAAGACGTTCTTCCACCTCACTATAATAGTTCCCTGATTTATTTATTTAAATTTAGTTGGATTTCATGCTACATAAGAAGAACAACTCAAAGGCCGGATGTTAAAATTAAACAACACATGTCTACAAAAAATCCAGAACTCTAATTATTCACCATCAGATGTTCTGACCAACACATACAGGTCTTCTATCGCAGAACACCTCATAAATAACCGCAGTTGTGCTGGTAATTTTAGTGTGGACTCGTTTTTCATCCTGAGGAGGTTCCACTCTAATTACCAACTAAAAATATTGGAGGCCATTTATATTTTGTCTATGAAACCTATTTGCAAACAGAAGGATTTTGTCCTTAGCCTCTAATTGATTTCTATCTAAATAATTTTTTCACATATTCTCCTTTCCTTTTATTGATAATCTATACCTATTTATTAAGCTTGATTTAGCTCTATTGATCAAGATTCAAAACCAGTTAGCTAGCTCCTTTTTCATTTTTTTATCTTTTAATTATTATCATGTGTTGTAATATTAAAAATAAATTTTGTCTATTTAAATGGTAGCTATTAGATTTTTTTATACTTAAAAAATAAAAAAAAAATAGCAAAGTAAGTCATTTAAATGTAACTGAAAAAGTAGAATTCTTGAATACAGCATAAAATAACATTGAGTAAGTCTTTTTGTTAAATTATCTCTTTTTTTTTTTTTTTTTTAAAGCTGTTTCAGCCATGCCAGATATCATTGCTGGTACTGCTTAAGATTCAGTCAAATCTGAATTGAGTTTCTAATAAATGAGTTTTGCTTATAAAACAAAATCATACAGTTACTTTTACTTCCTATCTAATGAATGTTTAGACAAAAGTTTTTCTATAAGAAATTGACATGTACAAAATTTTAAAAGTAAAAGAATCACTCACCTAAATATCGAACATGCCAGCTTGGGTCAATTGCAGTGTAATTCTTGTAGAAGACAATCATCATTGGAGGTTGAGATCCACCACCACCTTTTTCATTTCCATAAACTTCCTCTCTGATAAAAGAACAACAAAGGAAATTGATAAACCAATAATGGATTAGAAAAAAAGCTTGACTGATTATTTTGCTCATTCCTGCAAATCTTACAAATAAAATGTTGAAGTTTCAAAAAGACAACACTATTAGAATTTACAGGATCACCATAGACAGATACACAAAAATCATTTTTCACAATTAACTGATGTGAGTTATATATTTTACCTTCCCCCTCCTTACCTAATAAAACATTTTTAATTGTTTTGTTAAATACAAAACGGATTAGCAATTGAAAATGAACTTTGGAAATGAAAATTATTTCGAGTTCTACATTTAAAAAAGACTTCTTTCTTTTATTTTTCAAATTCCTTTTTTTCAAGAGTAGTACACTGTGAAGAAAGTTTGCAAACACTTTGAAATTCTTTCAATATCAAAACAGTTTTGTATTTCAACATAGAATTAATAAGAACTGATAATACATTTCAAACAAAGTTTTTTCTAACATGTAAAATGTATAGAAGCCAAACAAAACATCCCCAGCCAAACAGATTTCAGAATTAACCAACTTTATTACAGAACCAAAATTAAATCCGGAATTTTATTTATTTTTTTAAAACTATTTCACCCCAAGCAAAGCAATAATATCACCAAGACACAAGGGGGTACTAGGAGTGAAAGAGACTGAGAAAACTTCAGGAGAATGAACCAGAAACCCAGTCCTAAATAGAAAACAAGTGATAAACATCTCCTCCTGTTCAAAAGACAAAATGAGTGCGAACCAGGCAATAGGCAAACCTAATCTATTACTAAATTTTATGTAAATTACATAAACATGCTTCTTTTATAATAAAACATTTTAATTATTTGTAAAATGATCTTATTTATAAAAGCATTCAAAAGTTTCAGTGATAGATTTTAGATTCAATTTGGATCCATATACACGCCAAAAACATTATTTAAAAAAATAAAAGAAATTTCAAGAACCAATAAACAACACTTTTAGACTGTAAAAAAAAAACAAAAAAAAAACCACCTTTTAAAGCATGTTTAAAAGAAACTTTGCCAAAGGTCAATTATGGTGCCTGACCTTTAAGGTTTATTCTTTTTTTAAATACAATTGAGCGATAAATAAAACAGGATAATTTTTCTGAGAGAAATTTTGTATTAAAGCATCAGGCCAAAAGTCTAACTGTTTTTGATTATTGCAAAAAATGAAAGATAAGATTTAAGAAAATCCATGTTTAAAGTGTAAAGTCTCTTGATATGGAAATGTTTAATGTCTGAACTGCTTTGAATGAGGCAGCATGGAAATAATGAAAGTAAAATAAAAGACCAATTCATATATATATAAATACTGCAACATCAGTTTAAAGAGTAAAAATAAAACACATGGACCAGAAGGAGGTTGAAGTATTAAGCAATCAAAATATTGGGTTTAAACATAGAAAGAAATTGGAGCACTCAAATTCTGATAAACTTTTGAATCACATTAAAACTGCTTTTTCTTTTCATATAAAATGACATGGCAGCCAATATTAGTTCAAATATATATTCTATGTAAAACTTTACTCCCAACTTGAATAGAATTTCATCAGTTACTTTTTTAACCAATCAGAAAAGAGAAAAACATTTCCATCCAATTAAAATCTATTGAGAATCATAAGCAATCAAGTTTAGATTCATTTTTTTTTTTTAATAATCAGTTTCCTTTGGCACATATTTGATACTGACGTCCTTTCACAATGTTTACAAATTTTTCCTAAAATGAATGTTCAATGCTGTTAATTGACCAATATATTCTTCAGCTTTCTTCAGGTATAGGTCACATCTTATGATGTCAAAATCAAAGAAAGGTTAAATCCATTAATTCATATTTTTGAAGATGTATAGCACATGCATCAATACCAAACCATAACAATCCGATCACAATTTAAACAATATTCATTAATAAAGAAAAATATTTCTTGAATATAACTTGCTTACTTTTATCTCACCAGACCATGAATTATGGCACTTTGTGTCCTCCATATGTTTTGACTGCCCTTTCAACCACCTTATGAATATTCATGAAAAGTCCTCAAATTTAAAAACCTTGATAAACCAATGACATCATTGCTCTTGTATGTAAACATGTGCAACAAAATAACTCTTGATAAAATCTCTCAGAGGACAAAAACATCAGATAAGAATAGTTTTTTCCTCTTGTCTTTTTATTCATTTTGTTCCTGTACAGATACACTCTATCTGAAAATAATTTACATTATATATATATATAAAAACAGATTGCTCTGGTGAAGCAAATACTTACTTTTTGTTCAATTGTAACCAATATTCCAGCTGTTCAGTGATATTATTTTTCTTCCAGAGGTCAAGATCTGTCAACATGAGTCCAGTATTAAACGAACATGTTGCAGGATGCATGTGCATCTGTTGAATGTGTTTGTTCTTGAAATCAATGTATTCAGCATAGTTATTCTGGACAAAGAAAAAAAATATAGTTTCCATGTCAAAGGTCATAACTTGCTCAACATGAAATTGTCAAATTTAATTTAAGTTTGAAACTCTTAGCAGTATTTTCAAAACAAAAACAAAATTTAAACTGATATTTTATTTTCAAACTAGTATAGTACCCATCAAAAATGGCAGAAGTACTTACATAGGGCTTGGCACTTCTGCCAATAAATCAAAGTATCTTAGTGCTCTGCTTAAGAATAAAGTGTCACTTCCCAGTACATTTATCTCAGATCAGTGTAGTATCTGTGAAAGTGTTTTATGCACACATATGATAAATACATACATGTATACATATTGCATATATGTGGATTACAGTTGTTATTTTAAAAAAAACAAAAAAAAACTTTTTACATTTTCATTAGTAAGTACAAAAATTTTTCAACTAATGATTTTTGTTTTGTATTTGGATAAAAAGTCAAATAAAATTTGAGCAATATAAGCTTCAGACTTTTGTTTTTTGTTTTTTTTAAATCTAACTTCGAATTTCTTAAAATTTTTTTTTTATTTTCAGTAAAGCAAAGCATAAACCATAAATAAAATGTTTTACCTTCAATCGAGACAATCGTTTCGAAGTAGCTGAACAGTCATTAGAAAAAGCAGCTAAATCCCCGGAATTAATTTTCATAGTATACAAATCTGAAATGTCACCTGAAAAATAAGACATTTAGCAGCTGGCATTATTCAAAGACTTCTTCAGAGATTCTTTTTCTTACTTTTACTGACCACACAAGATTTTAGCTGATCCATTTTACAACTTTTCTTTCCTTTTACAATTTAGACAGAAAAAATTAGAACAAGGAAAACTGATATTTAACATTACTTGTATAAAAGAGTCACACAGACTGTACATGCGACAAAGGCCAGAGAATAGATCAGATAAAACAAGAAAAGCAACAAAAAAGATAGTTCAATAGTACAGACAGGAAAGTCAGTTATTAATTCATTATTTTCAAAATGTTAATTAATAATTGAAAACAATTTCATCCTTTAATTAAAAGTTAAAATTTTAAGTTTTTTCAAAAAATTATTTACAGATTATACAAAAATTTCAAAAATAAAGGAAGAAAAAAAAATGTTGACAACACTTTCACTACAGATTATGATGAAAAGATAGAATTAATAGATTAAAATAAGCAAGAATCTCTGCAGAGATTAAAAAAAACACAAACACACACACACACACAAATTCTACATAAGAAAAGAAACATTACGTCTTCAAATTATTTTTCTAAAAATAATGCTGCAGACACCTACCCTGGACAATGCAGTCATCATCGATAAATAATATTCGTCCTTTCAAGTCTGGGAATAGACGAGGAAGGTAATAACGGGCATAATTAAGCTGGAAAAAGTAAATAAAAAGAAAATGTTTACTTTTGTAACACATTAATATCTATATGGGTCATACAGTATTATCAATTCTATTTTATGACAGTGATATTTATCATTCCTGTAAATTTAAGTTATTACAGAAATAGAGAAATTTGACAATATCAAAAAAACTCTTCACATTGTTCCATTAATAAACCTTAATAAGGTTTCTTCATACTTTGATTGTTATCTTAATATTCACTTAATTACTTAGTAAAACACACCCCATCAATTTAGGTGATGAAAAAACTGAAATAATAGATTAAAATAAACAAGAATCTGGATATACAAGGTCAATAAAATATCTTGTTATTCACACTTGAATATATAAGATTCAGTTATAGATTCAACAGATATTTTTAGGTTCTGGGAAAATTGAATCATTTGTCCAAGGATCATTGGTTAAAAAAGTGACAGGATTTTGGACCATTTAAAGAATATTCTCAAGGTTATATTCAACTGAATGTGAAAATGATCTGAACACCACACCAACCAATATTTTTATTTTTATTGCAGTCATAATCAAATAATCCATTTAAAATCGAATACTTTGAAGATTAATTTTAAATTCCTATCTCTGTAAGGACTTTGTTTTTAATACAGAGTTTGATTGTTTTATTAGAAAAAAATCTCCTTACAGGTCTCCCCAACTCTGGACGGCCACTTCTTAAGTGTATCTTGTCTTGGACCCATTCAACAGGAAAACGCTTCACTTCATAGTTCAACATATTTAACTTGGTTTTTTTTAGCCAAATTCTGAAAGGAACAAAAAGAAAAAAAAATTAAAAAGTAATTCAGATTTCCAGAGTTCTGAAAATGTTTTTTTTTTTTAATTTGTGAAATAAAAAAAAAAAAAGATAAATTTTGTCATTGTAAATCATACAATGTTTTTGATTTAAAACAGAAATCAGAGTTTATTATAAATTTCTTCAGTATCTATATTTCTGAGATGAGGTATTATGTACACTATTTACATTATTCGCACTATTGTCCTCATCTTTGTTGCCATATTTATTAGAATGCTTCAGCCTTTCAGTATCTGTCTATATTTCTGAGATAATATGTACACTAATTACATTATTCAGACTATTGCCCTCATCTTTGTCGCCATATTTATTACAATGTTTCGGCCCTTCAGTATCTGTCTATATTTCTGAGATGAGGTATTATGTACACTATTTACATTATTCGCACTATTTTCCTCATCTTTGTTGCCATATTTATTACAATGTTTCGGTTGTTGTACACTCCAGCCTTCTTCAGGTGGTTGGAATGTTGAACTGAACTCTTTATTTCACTCACTGGGGTAGACTGTTCTAGTTCCACGTGCCATATTTAATGGATGTCAGTTGTCAGTTATCTCCTGTTAATTCCCCTCTCCAAGTTCTCCACTGCCTTAACCGGGTATTGAACTCACTCTCTTTGGGTCCTGTCACTGGATCTAACCAACGCCTTTATCCATTGTGCCATGTGTCCTTGAGGACAGTGGATAAAGGGTTCAGTTCGACATTCCAACCACCTGAAGAAGACTGGAGCGTACAACGGCCAAAACGTTGTAATAAATATGGCAACAAAGATGAGGACAATAGTCCGAATAATGTAAATAGTGTATAAATTTCTTTTCAAGAAAAAAAAAACATTGGTAATTTTGTTTTTTCTATAAGCTTTTCACAATTTTACTCTCTAAAAGATACTTTCTAGTATGTTTCTTTGTAATCTTCTATGAACTATTCAAAAGCCTTGCATCAAGTGTTGTGTAAAATGTACAGCAAATTCACCCATTTTCTTTTTTGCTTTTGTATCTACCTTTTATACTACTTTTTTTTTTAGCCAATGCATTTTTGGATATTAAAATAAAAAACATGAAATCAGAAGTTTAAAAATAAAGAAAAACATCTGCTGAGTTTGAAATGACAAAATAAGATTAAATCTACAGGGTGCTGCAAAAGTCACATGACAATTGGCAAAAGACTTAGACTTGTGAAATAGCAGTCAGAGAAAATTTGCATGACATCATCTTCCAAAATTTGACCAATAAAATTTCTTAATAATATATTGCCACATACAAAAAACATGATTCCATTTGGTAAACAGATATAAAATTTACAAGGTTGTCAATAGTAATGTGACTTTTGGAACACTATCCAACATCAGTCTGCTTTCAACAATGGCAAACTTGTATGTTGTACTTCATATTTTATGAACAAGGTTTTATTGTTAGTCAACAGAAAAACCTTTGTCCATAAAAGATTAGTTCTTAATAATAACAAGTTTCGTTGAAAGCTATTTCTTTTTAAAAAAGAAAAAAAAAAGAAAAATAGCTAAAAGGTAGTTAAAGAAAAATTTATTAAAAAAACAAAAAACTAAAAAACAAAAAACAAATAATGCAGCTATTCAGAAAAATTTACTTTATATCTCTCAACCATTTAGGTTAAGTGTTGTGGTCCAAGGGAGATTACTTATTTAGAAAAGTACAAAATCGACTGAAGGAAAAAATCTTTCTGGTTGTTTGTACAAACGATTGATTATTCGCAACTTTAATATTACTATTCAGTTCAAATCTAATTCAAACTCTAATAAATTCGTTTGTTTTATTAGATTTTATTCTAAATTTTTAATTTGTTTTTTTAGCTTTTTGTATCAACCTACTTTTGTTGTTAAAGTAGGAATTTAAGAAAAATAATTTCACCGATTTTTATCAAGGGAGATAACTCTGAAAGTCAAATTTGTTTAATATGAGCGCGGAAAAGAATCGCCTACATTACTTATTTCAATAAACCTAAACAAAATTCCAGAGTTTTTCATACTAAATGTTGCACAGAGTTCGATAGTACTGTTATAATGTACACTATATTATTGATATCAAATATGAAATTCAATTAAAGATATTTTTTAAAGAACTGGTCCATTGAGAAAATATGAGAGTTATTTGAAAAGCTCAACCAGACCATAAAGCTTCCAAGAAAAAATGAATATTGATTTGGTTTTTTTTTTGTTTTTTTATGACTTATCAACCCCTGTTTTATTTAAAGAAAAACATATTCTGAATTGAAAGAATATTTCTTTTTTTGAAAGTGATTATTGCATTAACAATATTTTGAGAATAAAAATGATTTTTTTCAAATAACCATCACCTCCCTTTATCTATAGGCTAAATAATCTATAGATAAGGGAAGGAGATGGATTCATACCTTTCCACATAATTGAATGTAACAAAGCCAATTGGAAATCAAAATCAACATTCCAATTTCCCATTCTAAGTCACAATGCATTACACCACTTGCACACCCACAAAATTTTAAATAAATAAAAAAATCTAAGGTTTGGTCATTTGGTCAAATTTGGGGAAGTAGGTTGGGCTGTGAAATTTTCAGCATCCTCTCATACATCTGAAATATTCTAAAAACCTATAAATAAAAACTTTTTTCTTCTTTTTTCCACATTACAACTTGTCAACTCAAGACATAAGAAAAAAAATTCAACAAAATTTGTTATTTTAAATGCTTTTATTCATATTCAGCAAAATAAGCATTTACTTTATGCATATGATGTAAGTGATGATAAATTTATCTCATTTTGAACATTTCAGTCAACACCAACATAAGTAGTTTGGTTTGGCACAAGGCCTTAAGTGTGAGATATCCAGTAAAGATCAAATTCAGTAGTAGTCAAACAGATAAGCTCACCTTATGCTAAAGATGCTCTACAAGTTCATAATTATCAATTTATTTAAATGAAGTATTTTCATTTTTAATGCATTTGCTCCAACTTATTGTTGCTTTTAATCATTTAGAACATTGGGATTAAGAAGTTACAATAAAATTAACAAAACTAACCAAAAATAATGCTCCTCAAAAAAATAAAATAAAATGTTTACTCGTTTAGTTTCCTTTGACCGTATTGTATCAATTTTTCAAGTTAGTCTTTAGCCTTTTTAGTGTAAGAAGATAAAACTACTTTGTTCACTAGTAGGAAAAGTAAATCTTACACCAATGCATCAGTCAGTAAAGTACCCTACTTGATAAACGCTTGGGCAATCATGTCTCTTTCAATTCATAAGTGAATAGGCAGATTTTCTTGCAGTAGGTTTCTTTGTGGAGCAGTTTGGTTGCCCACCAAAACTATAGGACACAGTCTGTCTTGCTATTCAACCCATAGATGTGGGGGGAGAGATTGATTCATACCATATTCCCAATGACAATTGTATGTAAGTAACTGTAATGAACCCAAATGGAATTTCAACTCAACTCTTTGATTTTTCATTCTGAACCATTATCCATTTCCGTCACCATGTTTTATCCATTTGCATCACCATGTTTTAAAAAAGTTGGAAATAAATAAAGTTTTACTTTAGACAACTGAAATTTCAGATTTATTTCTCTGAAACTTGTGACGACAAAACACAAGTCATGAATATAAACCTTATACAAGATTTATTATGGTGGAATTTTTAAATATTCATATTTATACAAAAAATATTAAATTGATTTTACTACAAAATCAATATTTTCATCCTTACTGGTTTTTGCATTTATTCAAATGCTTCTTGATAAAGGAAAAAGGAATAAAGGAAAAAGGAATAAATGTAAAATAATTTAACATAGCAAAAGTAAATCTTTCAAATATTCCAATTGCTGACATACTTGCATGACAGCCGTTCATTTATTTAGCTTTAAGTACAATTGGATAACATCCAAGAAAAACTAACCCAACTGCCATTATTCTTGTAATCAGATAAAAAAATTGACACTTCCAACAATGTGAGATGAGGCATAGATTAATCTTAAATAAGGTATTTCTTTCTTATCCCCTCCCCAAAAAAACTGAAAATTATAATTGCTATGACTTCATTACATTTGATATGTTTTCTGCCTACAACACATTTCAGAGGATTTAAAACTGATGTGACAGTTAATTCTAAATATCTACTTTTATCTCTAACTTCTTTTTTTTATTATTTACAGCACAAATTCCAGTAAATTTAAGTAGATATTAATTTGAAAATAATTTCCATCCAGAACAAAACAGTCATATCTTTTGAATTCCTTACTATTTTTACTTTACTGTAGCATAAATATTTAGTTTTAAGTATCAAGTTGTTTTGTTGATAGCTTCCCACCGTTGTTAAATAAACAATGTTAATCTAAGATCCTGGAAGGTGGTATAAACCATACAAATTGAGAAAAAAATACTTTAATGATTGAATAATGATGCCATGAAGTTATATGAAAAAAAAACTTTAAAAAAAAGTTTATGTTGTAAAGTCCAATGTCCTTAGTGTTACTTTCAAAATGTGTTGTACTTTTCCTATTAGTGACATAGCCTGGATATTCCAAATATGATAATTGGTTAATTTACATATCACCACATCTCCCTGTAATGAATGGTTTTTGTTTTTCTTGCGTCTCTTCTAACAATACTTTCATTTTCAGGATTTCTTTCTCTTTAGGATCTTAAAGTATTTCTTTCTCTGGTAAATCTTGATCTATCACGTTTTCTCTTATCATGACTGCATTTGTATATTGACTAATTTCCCTCAGTTTCTGAATCAGATTGTCCCGCTCGATCATCACTATGTTCATCATCAGACATTTCATCCTGCAAGGGTAGGTTTCATTTTTGTTCAGCACTATCATTACTTGAGATATTCATGAACATTTGTCATTTTCCTCCTCACATTCATCACATGATCTTATTTGTTCTGCATCGGCTATTATTCTATTCCCATTTTTTCTTGTGTCCTTTTTAAATTAAAAATTTTCCTTCTTTGGGAGTGTCTCCTTATTTTTCTTGTATCACATTTTCTCATTCATAAAATATGACATACTTAAAGAAGCACTGATTTGTCTTCCCATTGTGGCCAATGGATTTTCTAGCTTTCCTATGTGTTGTATGGTGTGGTAACTTAAAAGTAGTCTAGGTAAAAAAAAAAAAAAATTTCTACTTTCTCTTTCTGTTGCAAACATGCATCAAGTCCATCTTTATGGTTTGTACCATCCTCTTTCCGCTAAACCATTTGATTGAGGATGATATGGACGTTTCTTGTAAGGTGTACATCCTATTTTCTTTAGCCATGAATTAAGTTCTTCATCACAAAACTCTGGGGCGTTATCAGACACCAGAGTTTTTGGTATCTCGTTACTGAAGAATATAACTTTTAAAATGTTTTACAATAGAACTTCTTATGTCAGGCACACTAATTACCTCGGGCCAGCCTGTAAAAGATTTCACTAATATGAAAGCATCCTACTCTACTGATGTATACATGACCCATGCGAAAAAGATTCCTTGGTTCAGACTCTTCAGACTCTTTAGGTCAAGAATGTAAATGCATAAAGTTATTTATTTCTATACATGTTGGACATCTTTTAAGATATTCCATGACATGTAAATATCCCAGCCACCATATTTCTAACTTTAGCTTATTCTGTGTGGGTGTTATTCCACTGTGTACATTGTCATGTACACTTTTTATGACCAGATTTTCTTTGTGTTTCTGGAGGGATAACTAAATCACCATTACAAATTACTCTATTCTCCATTTTATGTCTTTGAATCATCTTTCTGCCAAGAGAAATTACTTCAGTTGTTATTTCTTATTCAAGATATTAAGCTGCTTAATTACGTGGGTCTTGTGTAGTTTCTACAGCCATTATATCCACAGACAAAATATCAGTCTGTGTCCTCAAAAATCTCTTTTGCCTTATCTTTTGACGCCTTGTTAAATTGCAATCTTGATAATGCATCCATGTGAGATATCGTATTCCCTTTGGCATATTCTATAACAAAGTCAAAAGCCATCATTATTATCACTCACCTTAATATCCTTGATGTCATGACTTTGGGTAGTTCTTTTCTCGGATTGAATATAAACTCTAATGGTCTATGATCAGAACTTAATAGAAATATAGAAATTTTTTCCAGTTAAGAACTGACAGGGCTCGTCATCAGCCAAATAATTACAAGAACTCCATGACTCATATCCATGAGCCTTGCTCTCTCTGCAATAACTAATTTCTTTTTTGATCACATATTTTTCTAGATTACTTACTTTGCCAGAAGTCAAACTTTCCAACTGCATTGGGTGAGCCATAATTGAAAAATTTTCATAATTACGACAAAAAAAAAAAAAAAAAAAAAAAAAAAAAAGACCGGTTATTTCATTTTCCCTTCCTGTTTCTTTACTGTCTCTTAATTTCTTCGTCCTTTGCTTTAGCCGCAAATACTTTTATCCATGCAGCCACAAAATCAGGATTCTCTAATTCTATTGGCAACACCATTGTTTTGAAGTCCTCAGTACTTTGTGTTACTACTCAATGTTCATGCGTAGTAGTTCTTCTCCCCCTCTAATCAAAGGAGTTATATAGCCTGAGTATGTTAATTGACTAATCTACATATTACCACAGTCTAAAAATTTTTATTTCAACAAAATAATCTGTTCTTAATTTTGAGCATCCTGGGTATGACGATAAACTACATCTGCATCCTGAGTAAGACGATAAACTATGTCCAACAGCAAGCCCTCTGATAATACGTTTTTGAAAAAATAATGTTTCCAGCTATATGTTTTTGAAAGAATAGTATTGCCTGCTATATGTTTTTAAAAAAATATTACCAGCTATACGTTTTTGAAAAAAAAAATATTAACAGAAATGGATTTCTGACAAAACAAAAATATTACCAGGAAAAAAAAAAAAAAAAAAAGTTGTCGGCATTAAATGACCCATTGAGGTTGATATGCCATAAAACAAAACAAACCAAACTTAATTTTGAATACTGGATAAATCAAAAAACTAGTTAACTTCTTTCTAATCAAACTCTAATTGATCTCAAATGTTTTCTCTAGTCATAATTTTTGGAAATTATATATTTAATATAACTTTATTCAAGTACATATTGTGATAGATAAAATATATGCACAGTTATATGCATGTGTTTCTAACAACAACAACACTCACACGTCTAGATTTGTTGTAAGTAATCCAACAACAAAGTAGATTTTCTTCTTTAAAACAACTTACATGATGTGGTCAAAACTTTCATCATCCACAACCAAATGAAACATGACGTCATGTCGAGTGTTTGAATAGATGCTGTTCATTGTCGCTATCATTCCACCAAGTGTATGTTTGTCAGAAGTGATCACAACATGCATCATGTTTGTACTGTTTGCTTTGGAATTCATGTTTATACTGTTCAGACCTGGCAAAAATAGAATCAAATAAAACCAATGAGCAAATAATATATCCAAAAAGAGTGAAGATCTTTATATAACCAAAGAATAATTTCATCTTATAAAAAATATACATTACACACACCCAAAAACTATTTTTATATCAAATAACAAAATTACTGATAAATTATCCCACAAACTCATCAAATGTTCTATCAAATTACATGAAATATATTTAAAAAATTTGTGCATCATAAGAGAAAAAAAAAAATGGTACAAAAAAAAAAAAAAAAAATACATTTCCTACTAACATTCCTATAGATACCATTTTCAATCATATACTGCAAATTTTTTCTATAGCCAATTTAGTGGTGAGGCCAATTTTTTAATTTGAGAATTTGCATAAAGATTATTTATTAAAAAGACAATTTTTATAGCAAAAAACATTTTTATAACAAAAACAAATCTGCTAGCAAGACAAACGAAATTGGCTCCAGAATTGTTGCAAGAGAGATTACTCAATTTGTGGATGATGACAGACACACCAAAATTTCAAACAGATTTTTTCTCATTACAAGATTTAAAAAGAAAAAGAAGCAAAAAAGAAGAAAACAACTAGAAAAAGTGAAAAAACAAATAAACAAAAAAAAAAAAAACAATAATCAGTCATTTTAAGTAACTTTTTGAATGGTGAATAATCAATGTTTTTAAAGACATTTTTATAAATATTGAAAAAAAAAAAAAAAAAGAATTTGTTTTTCAAAAAATTTCAAAATGTTCAAAAAGCTAAATTGTTATTTTCACAAATCTCAAGGACTTCAAGAATCTTGAACAGCAACTAGTAAATAAATTTCTATCTCGAAGAATGTCTGGATTCTTCTGAATAAAGAGGTCTACTATTATTATTATTTGCTTTAACAATTGAATGGTAAGCAAGTCTTTAAAATTCCATCAGTAGAGAATATCAATTATTATTTTTGTTCAGTTCTATAGGAATAACAATTATAGCATTTTGAAATAATCCATTTATGAAAAATAAATTTGAGAAACATTTTTATAAACTTTTTCAACAAATTTTTCAACAAGACATAAAAGCTAACAAAAAAAAACTTTGATGTTAAAATAAAGACATTCAAATGTAAGATTTAACATATTGGTAATCTTTTAGAAAAGAATTTTTGTGATTTAATTTGAAACAAAAGAAATTTCCATAATTTTGTGGCTTTTTAGAAATCATTTTGTAAAAATAAATCTTTTATTTTTATGGCAATTTATAATCTCAATGACACAGAATGAAAATTCTTTTAAAAACTGGGTATAAAACAATTGTTTATTCAAAGACTGAAATTTCATTCAAAAAAAAGAAAAACATCTTTTACCTTTCTTTCCCAGAAAAGGCCATTTCTTGGAATCGACAATATTAGGGAGCCATAAGTAGAACAGTGTGATCAACCATATCACCAACACCACAATACCCACTGAAAGAAAAAAAAAGAAAAAGAAAAAAAGAAATAAAAAACTTTTTATTTCTTCCAAAATTTGGCATAGCATATTATACAATTCTTAAGAATCTAAATTTGTAAACAAAATAATTGAAATTATTTCTTAATGAAGCTTCATTAGTTTTTGTCATTTTGAGATTTTCTCTAGTTTTCAAAGAGTAAATAAATAAATGTGTGTGTGTGTGTATATTTAGGCAGCAATTTTTCATTAGTGCATGTTTCATTAAATAATATAGACAAGTTTTGTTTATTTATTTTAAGTTCCTTTCATATTGTCAGATAAGCTTAATAACATTATCATTGAAAGATGAAAGGAAATCACCAGATTGATACAAAAACTAAAAATTCTTGAAGCTATATACATAAAACAGTTGAAACCTAAACTGAACAAAATAAACTATGAAATCTCCACAAATGCATATAATTGATAACTGAAGCCATTGGTTTATACCAACAGCTTCCCATACTTAATATTTCTCATTTTCACTCTCATGTGGTCATGTGTGACGTCACGAGCTGCGATGCAATTTTTGCTTCCGCGTCTCGTATACACGAGTTTGTTGTTGCTTTGAAATTTTTCATGCAACAAAAACAGACTATCATTATTGTTTTGTCCGTGTATTGTTTGATATATTGAAATGTAATTGTCATCTTTGATAATGGCTTATGTAAGCTGAAAGCTTAGATTGGATTTAAACATGTATCAATATGGTGATTTCCTTTCATCTTTCAATGATAATGTGATTAAGCTTATCAGACAATATGAAAGGAACTTACTTAAAATAAATAGGGACAACTTGTCTATACTATTTAATATACATACATATACATGTGTGTGTGTGTATATATATATATATATATATATATATATATATATATACATAAAATGCATTGTCTAGATAACAAATGAAAAGTGCAGTCACTATTTCTAAAACGGAAAATTCCCTCATTTAAAAAATAATAAAAATAAAATTAAAAACATTATTTACAAATATTGTAGGGTTTGCCCTTAAACTGGCCATAGGGGATACTGAAATGGCACACCCACATTGAGAACAATTTGAGAAAATAAAGTTATGACCCACAAATATGTCAGTATACCAATAATAAGTTAAAACTTATTCCCACTCATGTAGAAATTAAAACATGAGATATGGTGGGAAAAAAGCATTTACGTTATATTTTTAGCAATTTTATTCCAAGAAATTTAATCTCCAGATAATAAGGCCATGATAGACATGTGTTAAAAACAAAAAAATATGGTGTAAATATCATTCAATTGTCTCATCATAATATAAAGTCCTATTTATGAGAATAGGACTTTGTATTATTAAAATGCTTCTGTCAATGTCTTCTCACAATCAGGAGAAGACAACAAATATTGTTGCCCGACAAAAGAAACTTTCAGTATCTGTCTATATTTCTGAGATGAGATATTATGTACACTATTTACATTATTCGGACTATTGTCTTCATCTTTGTCGCCATATTTATTACAATGTCTTGTACACTCGGGCCTTCTTCAGGTGGTTGGAATGTCGAACTTAACCCTTTAACCCTCAAGGACACATGGCACAGTGGATAAAGGCATTGGTTAGATCCAGTGACAGGACCCAAAGAGTGTGAGTTCAATACTGAGTTAAGGCAGTGGAGAACTTTCAGAGAGAAATTAACAGAAGATAACTGATAACTGACATTCATTAAACATGGCACGTGGAACTAGAACAGTCTACCCCAATGAGCAAAATAAAGGGTTAAGTTCAACATTCCCACCACCTGAAGAAGGCCGGAGCGTACAACGGCCGAAACATCATAATAAATATGGCGACAAAGATGAGGACAATAGTCCGAATAATGTAACTAAAAAACTTTTCTGGTAAATGGTGCAAACATGATCTGTCATTAGCACAAGTAAGAAAGTATATAGCAATATTTTAGAAATTCATTTGCAGAGATAAGTAACTTGCCAAAATATAAACCAGCACAATCTCTCAAACCAGTTCTCATAAAATTTCCATATTTTGGTCTTGTGTCAGATAAAAGATAAGTAAATACAGATTAATGGAGTGAGGGAAAAAAATTTTTATGAAATAAAATTATTTTGCATTTTAACACAGATTTCTAATGTTTTTATGCTATTTAATTTATTTATTTTTTTATTTATTTTTATTTATATATTCAATTCATTATACAAAAGTGTTTCTGCAGTGCAGAATCTTAAATATCCAGCACCACATGCAAAATAAATCATTTAGAAAAAGAGGAAATAAAATAACTGATATTTCTAGAAACATTAGTCTTGAATTAAGTAAACAAAAAAGTAGGAAGCCAAATAAAGTTGGCATTCATTGAAGAACGCATATTCAAGTGCAAAATTAGTCAAGAGATATAAATAATTCTCGAAGCTTCTTAACTGAAAAATATATGAAAGGTCAATTTGTACAAGTGAAATAACCTTGAAACATTTTGTAGTTTCAATCTCTAAGGTCAGGTTTCATTCAAAAGTTTAAGACCCTCTGACCTTTAACACTTCACTTGAATATATCTTGCCACAAGCACAGATATCTAAGGATTATAAATGTAAAGAAAAAAATCTAAAAGATTTCATCTACTTAAAGAGAAATCGATATTAAATGAGAGAAAATGTCCATCAGATCCAATGAACCCTGTCTTTATTTATCTATATTAAAAACAGAATTTTAAAAAAATTAAAAAATTCATAAACTGTTCTTTAAGAAAATAAATCCTGAATGAAAAGAATGGCTTTAAAAATAAAACAACCAAAACCTCATTTCCCCATTTCTACTTTCATGAGGAAGTAGATGAGTAGACAGGAATAAACAAAAATACTTTAAAAAAAAAAAAAAAAAAAAAAAAAAAAAAAAAAAAAAAAAAATCTTAAAAAAAAAAAAAAAAAAAAAAAAAAAAAAGAGACTTATTAATATCATTCCAACTTGTAAAATAAATAAAAGTTGATTTATGTACAGTGGGCCTACATGGATTTAAATAGAGTGGTTTTTGAATATATGTGGCTAGATTTATTTTGTTTTTTTTAATTCAAAAATCCTTAAAACTTTTAACATCTTGTTCCACATAAAACTGTATCACTTAATGTAAAAACACTCCCCTTCCTTTATCATTCTTTTCATGCATTTTCTCCTTTACATTAAAGAGTTCCTAAGTTGCTTGCTACATATGTTGTTCATAGTATTTGCTGTGCTGTGTTTTTTGCAGTATATTTTTTGCATGAAATGATTCCAAAAGAATTTGGTGGTAAGATTACTAAGGGTAGCAGTAGAAAGCTAGAAAAGTGCTAAGTCTGCAATAAAAGTTACAAATGTTGGATCAGTTGAAAAACATGTCGTAAGATGGAAATGGTCAGAAAAGGAGTCTAGTGTCCATGCAATAAAACAAAGGAAAAAAAAGATTAAATTTGCAAGAATGTTTCACTTGCAATTGCAAAACAATTTTAAAAATGGTGTCTCTGGTTTGTGACAAAATGCTTGTAAAAACTGAGAAAGCATTATGTGTATGGATGGAGAACATGCTACAAAAGCACGTCCTTGTTGACAAACATTCTGCATGAAAAAGCACTTTAACCAATAAAAATTATTACAGGAAGGGGGTTGAAGAGAGTAAGGTGTTTAAAGCTAGCAAAAGAAGGGTTCATGCCTTTATAAAGACTTTAAGATCTCAGAAGAATCAACATCATCTGATACAAAAATAGCATCAATACCCAGAACAGCAAAAAAAAAAAAAAAAAAAAAAAAAATATAAAGTAATTAAGGAAAAACACAATCATCAAAAGTATCTTCAATTGTGATGTAATTGGCCTTTTGAAGAAGAAAATGTCAAATATCTACACTGATAAGAATTGCAACAAGACCCAAAGTTTTAAAGCTTGAAGGATCAGCTTCCTCTGGTGCTATGTGACAGGTCATATGCTTAAATCCGTTCCAGTATACAAAGTCCATCCCTACACGCTTCAAAACAAAAACAATAATATGTTATGATCTGGAAACACAATAAGAAGGCTTGAGTTAAAGATATTGTGTTGTTTGATTGGTGCCAACACTACACTTGAAGTGAAGTAACTCGAGATGAAAGAACTATCATTCAAAGTCCTTATTTAAAATGTTCCCAGCCCATCCCAAATCTCTGACATACGAGGATGAAAATGCTGAAGTCACTGATGCAGCCACTTAAGTAAGGCATCATGAAGTGTTTGAAGGTGACAAATATTCACATTACCTTACCCAGGATTCATGTTCCATTGGATGCTAACCCAGATTTATGGAAGAGCTTCCCAACTGCAGATGCAATTTAGTTTTGTGTCGAGTCAGCTAATACCATAAAACCAGAGATGGTCAATGCTTGCAAGAAGGCATTATGGAACAAGGCAGTTACTGATGCCAACAATCTCTATACAATGAAGGAGATTTTACAAGTTGTCAGGGATGCTGGTGTTGAAAGGTTTCTCTAACATGATCAACAAAGATTTGAAACACATAAAAGAGCAACTGACAAAGACATCAAAGAACAGCTGAAAAGGTTGACAAGGAAGGAAAAAGCTGCAAAAGCAAAAGTCCATCCATTATTGGCCATTGCTAAAATTGGCAGTAGTAACACCACCCCCACCTGCCACATTTTCATGCTTTGGTAAAAATGAACAACCATGCAATGGAAGATCACCAATGCTATTACAATTGAACAAGAGCCAGTGCTACAATTGTTTGAGGACAATAGAATGAGACAGCAAAGAAATTTGCAATTTCAAAGCCTTATTCCATTCTGGAAAGAAAAAAAAATCTTATATATCTCTGAAGAGAACCTGGCATTATACCACCTTCAAAACATCAACATACATTGGCACATTTCTAGAAGAGTTTTGAACATACATTGTTCTTGAATATGCAGGCAGTTGGGAAACCAACTGAGCACATTATATATATATATACATACACACACTTGTGCAA